GGGACGATAGCGGCGTTCATAGCAGCGACATTCACCCGCGGAAACGAGTCGCTCCCAAAGACGCACGTTCGCTAAGTCGACGCATTCATTCGCGTGGGAATTAATGCGATTTAAGCATTTTTTAATATATATGTACACGTATAAAATATATGAAAATGTCGTATGTACCAGGCGAGGTGAAGCATGGCCAGTCAACCCACCCCCCACCCCCCCCCTCTTGACCGACACGGCGTGGTGAGGGCAGGATTTTTGATCCAGTAGTGGGGTTGTTAATTTATAATGGAATTATAATAATTAGCGTGGCGAGATGTCTACTGCCTCGCCTGGTATACAAGACGTCGCCGGTTCGATCACGAGCCCTGTCTGACGCCTGCTGTCTATTTGGAGTTTGCGTGTCTCTCTCTCTCTCTCATCATCACGGTGGCTAGGAGATTTTAACTACCTCGCCTGGTATACAGGAGGTCGTGGGTTCGATCCCGACCCTGACGCCTGCTGCTGCTGTATGTTTGGAGTTTGCGTGTCTCTCTCTCATCATCATCATCACGGTGGCTAGGAGATGTTAACTACCTCACCTGGTATACAGGAGGTCGCGGGTACGATCCCGACCCTGACGCCTGCTGCTGTATATTTGGAGTTTGCGTGTCTCTCATCATCATCACGGTGGCTAGGAGATGTTAACTACCTCACCTGGTATACAGGAGGTCGCGGGTACGATCCCGACCTTGACGCCTGCTGCTGCTGTATATTTGGAGTTTGCGTCTCCCTCTCCCCGTGGTCACGTGGATTTTTCTCCGGGTCCTCCGGTTTTTCCGTCCACATTTAGAATCAACGTCACACGTTTAGAGTATTTGGCTGCTTTGCATTACCACGTGATGTTAGCCGTGACCGGGAATCGAACCCATACTCACCGGGTATATATATATGTTTAAAACCATGACACTACCGCCCCTACTTACAGTTGTGCATAAACTTTTCTAATGTTATGGATATACTGTATATATAAAAAAAAATCCTTTTACGGGATTCGTAAACGTCTATTTGCTGTTATTATTGCATAAACAGTACGTGTGGTGTGTCAATGCATGATCCTTCATACTTTAGTACCATTCATGTTACTGGGCTCATGAATGGTTAAATAAAGGACGTCAAACTGATATCACATTGTACGTGACATAGCATTGCCTATATATAAAATATGATGGACAGACTAAGAGCCACACATAGGTACGTGCGTGCGCTCGCTAACAGCACTTGCCCCGGGATTCTGTTAAGGCTACACGGGGCGATATTTTTCTGTGTAAAACATCGCCACTCGGGAGACAAAGGCGGCCGGCCGGGCGTAGTACTGACCACCCACATCCTCGTCGCACCGTGTTGGCTTTCATTGGTGCTTCTCACTCACAGCACTTTCCCCAACAGTACGTTAAGACTATACGGGGTATCTTTGTCTTTGTATGTGTGTGTGTTTAATTGTATTTGTGACCGTCTGTTTCGGCAAACGTTCCCGTTGCTCCGATATTTGGTAACAACAAGCCGATGTTTCTCTATCACCACGATTACCACCCCCACCCCCCATCGCTATCACCTCCTCCACAACCACAACAACAAACATCAACAACGGACACCACTAAATTGCCGAGGCGATGCAACGTCGCGTTCGGGAGTGGGGCGGGGAGGGGGGTTCTTCTTCCCCCAGTCGAGACGCCGCGAGTCCCGTGACGGTGACTCCCGTCGAGGATGATTTTGTTTTATTTTAATTCGCAGCCAGAGATAGATGCGCCCCCCCATCCGTGACACGCTGACGTTGCCTTCCCCCAACCAAGCCAAATTATCAACCAATTCTCACACCCGTCTCTCAAACGAGATGCGAATCTCATCACCATCATCATCGTCTCAACAAACAAAAAAAACCCGGATCTTCCGCTGTTTGTTATTGTTGTTAGTGGTGGTCGTGGTGGTGGGGGGTGGGGGGTGTTTTTTTTGTTTGATGGGTGTGGGAAGGAGGTGGGGGGGGGGGTGGGGGAGGAGTGGGAGCGTGGGAGGGGTGCAAAGTGATTTCGCTCCGAAGCGAGACACCCAGGGGACACGTTTTGCGGTCGCCGGAGGGAGACTCAGTCTGGCGTTCGTGACCCAAATCTGGAGAGCGGACACGGCGTGGGTCGCCTGGCAGTACGGGACGTGGAGGGCGGGGAGGGGGCACGCTGTCTGGGTGGAACGCGTGCTCTCTATGGGTTTGAGTGATTTTCAGAAGTCCGATGCCACCGCAGTGACTCTGAGAGGGTGAATTTGTAACACGCGCCTCGAGCTAACATTTATGAGTTGTACAGCGCCCTCACACCTTTCCCCTTGAGGGGGTTCACGGTGTTCCGTGCAGGGTCAAACATTTCCGTCGGCTGTCACGGTTCAGATTCGGAATCTGTATCCGATGAGCTGTAAAGCTCTTTATCAGATATACCAGATATTGGAAATCTTCCACAGCCCACATAAATCGAACCATTACCTATGTCTCCTAGCTCGCGCGCGTTTTATTTGCAATATGATACCGTAGCTATTTTAAGTTTGCAATTTAGCATGAAAGTTCGCGATCGAGCGAGCGATGGCGCAGCAGTTAGTGCGCGTGATGCGCTGCAAGAAGGTTGTGAGCCGTCAGGGTCCCACGGGTGGCTAGGAGATGTTCACTACCTCGCCTGGTACACAGGAGGATGTGGGTTCCATCCAGACCCTGACATTATCATCACGGTGGCTAGGAGATGTTCACTACCTCGCCTGGTACACAGGAGGATGTGGGTTCCATCCAGACCCTGACATTATCATCACGGTGGCTAGGAGATGTTCACTACCTCGCCTGGTACACAGGAGGATGTGGGTTCCATCCAGACCCTGACATCATCATCACGGTGGCTAGGAAATGTTCACTACCTCGCCTGGTACACAGAAGGATGTGGGTTCCATCCAGACCCTGACATCATCATCACGGTGGCTAGGAGATGTTCACTACCTCGCCTGGTATACAGGAGGATGTGGGTTCAATCCCGATCCTGACGCCTGCTGCTGTATATTTGAAGTTTGCGTGTCTCTCTCTCATCATCATCACGGTGGCTAGGAGATGTTAACTACCTCGCCTGGTATACGGGAGGTCGTGGGTTCGATCCCGACCCTGACGCCTGCTGCTGTATATTTGGAGTTTGCGTCTCTCTCTCTCTCAACCAGTCGTCGCGTGGATTTCTCCGGTTCCTCCAGTTTTCCCCTCCACATTTAGAATCAATATCAGGCGTTTAGAGTACTTAGCTGCTATACATTTCCACGTGATATGCCACTACGTTGAGCTATCATTTGTCATAGCCAGGTCGCTTCTGCAAAAGAGCTACGTAGCTCAGTGGGCCTTACCTGGTAAAATAAAAAGTAGTCCTCGAGTTGTAAATGTTGTAGTCGGTATTCTCTTAAACACACCGGCGTGCTTAACTGTTAACGAATTGTCACGTTTTATTTACTAATTGGCTGTGTCGGGTGGTGGAGGGTTTAACGACGCATTTATATTTCACGTCGATCTAACCCAAAAGGAGTTGATAGTTTTTTTTTACAGTGGCGAGCGATGTGCGAATCGGTCCTTGGCCTGATCATAAAGGCGACAAACAACAACAACAACAAACACAACATCTGAACGCTGGTCATGAACGCTGCCCGACTTCCCAGCAGCAGCGAGGACACGCGAACTGCTGACGTCGAGCGCCGTACACCCGGAGGGAACCTGGCTTCGATCGTCGGCCACGGCTAACATCAGTGGCGAGTGCTCTGATGTGAAGCTGACTAGACCCCCTTCTCCACCCGCCCCCCCCCTGCCCCCCATTTTGCCCACCAACCCGCGCTTGGCCAACGTGGTCCAACATCCCCCCATGAGTGCACACGGCTCAGTGGGGAGGCCTTCATCCAGCAGTGGATTGACAAAGGCTGTGCTTTTTTTATTACATATATGATGATGATGATGATGTCGTTATTGTTGTGATGATAATTGTCGTAGGAATCTATGAACATTGCATACAGAGTAATTAATGATACAACCTCAAGACTCCTCACGTTTTCACGTAGCTGGAATGCAAAGGACAAAGTGAAAGCCCCCGTGTAGCCCATGCAATAATCTTGGGGCAAGTGCTGTTACCAAGCACACGAGGGGAAGGAGGCTGGAAGTGGCTATAGTGCCACGCCCGGCCGTCTCCCCAGGACTTATGTTTACACACATACAACACGAGGTGCAGTACTCATTTGTTAAGGCCGAGATGACCGAGGTGAGGCCCCGTCACGAAGCTCAGATATGTCACTCGCTCCTAGTTAATGATTACATTGGCCGGGGATCGATCTCAGCTTGCCGGGGTCAGTGGCTATAGCGCACGTCGTACAAAGACAAAGCTCCCCCATATACCCTTAACATATTGTCGGGGCAAGTGCTGTTCGCGAGCACCTATGAAGGCCGGCACGGCAAACGAGGGGGTGGGTGGCCAACACCACGCCCGGCCGCCTTTGTCTCCCCGGTGGCGATGTTTTACACACCGCACCCAGGTACTCATTTGAAACTGTCAACCTACTGGAGTGACCCCAGGACCGGTTCAGAGAATCGTCAGCGGTGTTGGTTGGCCGTGAGCGGGAATCGAACTCGGGTCGCCGGGTTCGCCACCCTTCACACAAGCCTGTCTGCAGAAGGACCATTCCCCGAAACGTCTCTTTCATTTTTTATTATAACGTCTTGTAGTAAGGCAGGAATGGGGAGGCACGTGGTGATTGTTTAACTGCTCCTAGGCCCGCTACGCTGATCGGAGTCGATCACGAATAGCCCAGCCGGGCAGAGTTACAGTTCGGGACTCGGCGAGTTGAATTTTTGAGTTGGAAACGAAGTTTCATTTGAATTTGTTATTTTTCAATGTAATTCGCAGTGATTGATGATGATGCTGATTATGATGGAGGTGATGACGCAATTATCTCTATGTTTATATAACTTGTCTTTTCAGGTCTCTCTTGAAACAAGACGTCTGGCAACGACCTCTCACCTGGTAAATACAATCCGTGGGTGTGTCTGCGTGTCTATCGACCTGCCTGTATATATGTCTGTGTGTCTGCCTGCCTCTCTATCAGTGTGTATATGTCTGTCTGTAAGTGTCTTCGCGTCTGTCTGTGTTTCTATCTTTCTGCCGTATCTGTCGGCTTACCTGTTCTGCCTGTCCGCATGTCTCCCAGTCTGCAGGCGTTTTCTGTCTGCCGTTCTGTTTGCCCGTCTGCCTGTGCGTCTGTCTATACAACTATCTATCGGCTTATCATCAACCCTCTGTGTGTGTGTCTATCTGTTTGTCCACGTGTGTGTGTGTGTTTGTCTGAGTCGGGTCCACCGCCTTGACTACAACCAAACAGCGTTGACTGAACCATCCGGCTGATTCACGCGAGTCATCGATTAATCGTTTCCCTTCACTCACGACACAAAACCAAGGTTCGATCAACGTTGTTTGAGTCTATTCAAGGCCGTGATCCAGCTCGTAGGGGGCGGGGGGGGGGGGCAAATTTCACGTTCACCAATCAAGCGCATTAACTTTGCATCCAACTCACCACCACTCCCCGTGGCGATTCGATTAAATGGTCAGGAATCATTCTAGAGAGAAACGTCATGGAATCGATTATATATATTTACGCGATCTAACCCAAAAACCTCGCTTACGGATGATTTTGGTCGCGAAAGCCTGCGTGTTAAATCGATTCTAATTTTGTCGGGTTAACTTCTCTCTCTCCCTTTCTCTCCTTCCCCGTGCCGTCTGTATTGTTTGTCGCTCGTTCGCGTCTCGTTCGTAGGTTTTTTTTTATCTGCATTTGATTCGCATACAAAAAATTCGTTAAGTAATCGATTATTAAAAGCCCAATTCTCTCAAAGCTCGCGTGCATTGTGACCGCAATCATCGATTTAAATCGAATAGTTCTAGGCGCAGCTCGCTGTGAACTTGATACAACCGAGTTTGATTACCGACCACGGCTAACATCAGTGGCGAATGATATCTTGAACTGGCCCTGGAGTTTTCCCCAAAATTAACCAACTCGTACTGACCACCCTGGTGAAGTATGGTCAAACGAACCCCCAAGATCGATACGGGGTGCCGAGGCCTTCATTCAACAGTCGATTGACAAAAGAGCACAAAACTGTGAATATTATTAATATCTATAAATAATCTATGTATGTGTTACATGACAGATAATTCGATCATAATGATGACTAATAATTATACCGATTACAATGATAATGCGAATTATAACGAGTGCCATGCTGAAATTATTTTTGTTATCATATAAATCGATAAATTGCATTGTTTTACGATACATATATATTTACACCTTATTTTAGACGTGAGTAAATATATTCATTTGTCACCTTAGTAATGGGGTGATAACGATGATATTGTCAACAATATATTTGCATATCCGTATTTTATATAGTGTATACTGTAATATACAGAGGGTGTTTGTATGCAAAAAAATCGCATTTTAGGTGTGAATAAAAATTATCCCAATTAGTGACGAGGTACAATTTGACTGCACACAATTGTCCCAAAACGAATTTTACGCTTATCTTAATAAAAAAAAACATAACTCGAACGCAGTTAATAATAGTATTTTTTTATAATTATGAAATGTATTATTTGTTTAATAAACGTGTTAAGGTATGTAATTACTTATAATTATTATTGCTATTAATAAAAAACACTACTACGTTGATATCAACGCATACTATTAATATATATGTTTAAAGATTATGTAGCCTGTTGTATTGTTATAATTATTTTTGGCAACGTGAAAATGATCTCTTCGCTGGAACTTTTGAATACAAATAATGTACAAATGTGCACGCCACAAACACACACGTATTTTAATTACATTACTCTACAATATATGTACTTGACGGAATTACACAAACCACGTTCGTAATAAATAAATAAGCGTGTGTTTTATTACATAAGCATTATAGACGCATTGCTACATGAGTATTGTATATGTCTTCTTTCGCCTGCACAACTCTTTCCCTCTCTTACAAGACGCCCGTGTTTACGTGGCCTCTTGTGATAGTTTAATGAACATTGAAATAAACAAACACCCCCCCCCCGCCTCGTGCTACGGGAATCACAGAAACACGAACACTATGAGCCGTCATCACAGCAAGTCCTCGTTTAACGCGATAGATGCGTTCCTGAAAAGTGCCACGTTAAAGCAAAAAAAAACAATTTCCACGCGAATCGTGTCACGATAACGTTTGACTATAGACACGATGTACGACCACTACCAACACTACGCAAACACAGTGCGATTTGGCGGGGCGAATAACTAAAGGTACGCCAACGCGTTGCTGTATCACTCCGCGTACTGTATCATTCCGCTAAGCCGCGCAGCTCAAGAAAGTAGTTCATCATCGAGCGTGCGTTCCGCGTTACTGCGGGGCGCGTCCCGCGCGTTAGTCGAGGACTTCCCGTACATGAGATGATCACTCGCTAAACATTAACCCTGAGCGCGTGCAAATTGCGTGCGCAAAGCGCGGGTTGAACGAACTCAGGATCCCACGCGTCTCGCACCTGTCTGGCCGTGCACGTACTGCACGTGGGTGGAATTCAGGGTTCATCTGCACCTCCCGGTTCAATAGATTATCGGTTTAGTTTTTGCTTTACGTGAGATCGGGATGGCAGCATGGCTGCGCAAAAATGTACGGAGCGGAAGTAAAGTCACGTGACTTTACCGAATAGAACCAAAGAGTATGGATCCTTGCAGTCACGAAAGCTTTAAATCTAGAGCGGAAGTATGGCGACGAACCCTACGATCCGAGTTCTATTCTCGCTCACGGCCAACATCAATCCTGCAGGGCCTTCCCCATGTGGGGAGACAAAGGCGGCCGGGCGTGGTGCTAGACACCGACCCCCGTCGCGTTGCGTGTCCCGGGCCTTCTTAGGTGCTCGCGAACAGCGCTTGCCCCAACAGTCTGTCAAGGCTGTAACGGGAGATCTTTGTATTTTGTGACATTTCACCATCGTGAGTGAATTAAACAAATTATTTGATGATGGTGCTGCTGGTGCGTTAGCAGTGGTGCACAAGCGCAGTTGACAATTAGAAACGCAGCACGTTGGTCTGCGACGACGATGATGATGATGATAGTAATGGCCTAAACCTAAATATACAATAGGCGACGTTTCGGGCACTGGCCCTTCTTCATATCACATCCGTGTTGATTATGCACGGCTGTCAAATGCATCCTTCCCTACAGTTTATGTAACGATATTTGTATTAATTAATTAATTAATCTCGAAAACACCGAGTATCTAAATATCAAAGTTAACGCGAAAGCACCCCAGGTATTTAAATAGCCCAGGTATTCAATAAGTCACGTTGATTATTTAATTGTACGTGCACATGTAATTATAATTTTTCGTAATTATACAACGTTTACTGATAATTCGTCCAAATATTTAGTTGTTGTAAATTTCGACAATTATTTTTTTTTTGTTTGGCCACGTTCCGAGTCAAATCCCGGAGCCGGCAATGTGCAACGACGTGAAATGTCTCTTGGAGAAGCCACGTGTGTTCGTACACATGCCAGATTTCCCATATTGCACGAGGCGCGTGCAAGTGTCGGCCTAATCGTGTAGCCGCGTTTACAATGTGCGCACAAAAGTCGGTATATTTCGTGCTTGCATACCAACACTAATTCAGTACAGCACAGCATCAGAAATCAATCTGCTATTTATATCAAGGTATAAGAGCTCCGGCGTGGGTTGGCACGGTGTCAAAGGTCGTCGTCTCGTCTTGGTCGACCAGGTGACCCTTGCAAATGTTACTCGACGCTGATCTCTCAATGTGTCAACTGCAGGGCTCAACAAAATCGCCCTCAACCTCTCGCTACAAAACTCACTCACCAGCTCACCCCACCTCCTCGCTCGCTCACGCACTCATTTACTTCCTCACCTAACCAATCGTCCACCCATTTCATGTGTAGCGTCGCCCACGTAACAGCTCATTGACATTGTGTCCGGGAATCGAATTCAAGTGGCCGAGTTTGTACAGCTCAGCGTGCTGACCGCTGCACCATCGCCCCCTCGATGTCACCGTAGAACCGTCGCTGAACACGATAGCGCGTTTTCGCTGCAACGCGGTTCTCCCATTCGGGAATACTTTTCGCACATCTCTGAACGCGCGCCCCGCTACAACGCGGAACGCGCACCGTTATAACGCACACCGTTATAACGCACACCGTTATAACGCACACCGTTATAACGGTGTGCGTTAACGCACACCGTTATAACGCACACCGTTATAACGCACACCGTTATAACGCACACCGTTATAACGCACACCGTTATAACGCACACCGTTATAACGCACACCGTTATAACGCACACCGTTATAACGCACACCGTTATAACGCACACCGTTATAACGCACACCGTTATAACGCACACCGTTATAACGCACACCGTTATAACGCACACCGTTATAACGCACACCGTTATAACGCACACCGTTATAACGCACACCGTTATAACGCACACCGTTATAACGCGGAACGCACACTGTTATAATGTACGCCGTTATAACGCGCACCGTTATAACGCGCGCCGTTATAACGCGCACCGTTATAACGCGCACTGTTATAAGGCGGTTTCTAAGCGGTCGACGGCGAACTACTTTCTTGAGCTGCGCGTCTGAGTGGTGCCGTAACGCGGCGGCGTACCCTCACTTGCTTGCCCCTCCATCTCACTGCGTGGCGTGCGCAGCAGTCGACCGTGATCTCGACAAACTTTATAGTTTTTTTTTTTTACATTCGTTATGGGGAAATTGCCGTCGCTTCACGCGTTTTACGCTTAGCGTTGAACGAGGACTACCTGTATTGATGAACCACATGTTTCCATGATGACGAAGACGACAATGTTCGCCGGCGGTCCGGACTAAGTGCAGAGTGGCAGCCAACGGATGCAACGGAGGTCCGAGAGGACGTCCCCCAGCGGAGATGGAGCGACGGGAGCATCCAGTGCACTTGGTGGATCGCACGGCCGTGAGAGTCGACGGCGGCGCGGCCTTTACCCAGCAGCAGTGGATCGATCACGGCTCAGTTTGGTGTTTTAACATCTCGGCACAGCTGTTTTATTTCCAGAAAAAAAGGGGAAAACCTCTTCTCATATTTTGGTACTGGCAAAGGAGGTCCCATGATGATATAATATGGGTTGTTATTTTACTTTTTTTATTGAGCGCCTTGCCTTTAAAAGCAGTAACGAAAAACACATCGTCGTGATTTTTAGATGCCATGGGGCAGTGCAAGTGGCGAGGAATGATCGCCCGTGACAGAGGGCACGTGAGGGTCACGAAAGGGCTATGGGGAGGAGATGGGAAGGAGTGGAGGGGCGAGGGGAGGGAAGAGGAAGAGAATAGTGAGGCTTTGAGAGCGGAACGGAATGAGGTTAAGTAGGGCGGCTGCTTAATGTAGAGGGGCAGTGTTGAGTCTATGGGCAGTGTGAGTCTATGGGCAGTGTTGAGTCTATGGGCAGTGTGAGTCTATGGGCAGTGTGAGTCTATGGGCAGTGTTGAGTCTATGGGCAGTGTTGAGTCTATGGGCAGTGTGAGTCTATGGGCAGTGTTGAGTCTATGGGCAGTGTTGAGTCTATGGACAGTGTTGAGTCTATGAGTAGTGCTGAGTCTATGGGCAGTGTTGAGTCTATGGACAGTGTTGAGTCTATGGACAGTGTTGAGTCTATGGGCAGTGTTGAGTCTATGGACAGTGTTGAGTCTATGGACAGTGTTGAGTCTATGGGCAGTGTGAGTCTATGGGCAGTGTGAGTCTATGGGCAGTGTGAGTCTATGGGCAGTGTGAGTCTATATGGGCAGTGTTGAGTCTATGGGCAGTGTGAGTCTATGGACAGTGTTGAGTCTATGGGCAGTGTTGAGTCTATGGGCAGTGTGAGTCTATGGGCAGTGTTGAGTCTATGGACAGTGTTGAGTCTATGGGCAGTGTTGAGTCTATGGGCAGTGTTGAGTCTATGGGCAGTGTTGAGTCTATGGGCAGTGTTGAGTCTATGGGCAGTGTTGAGTCTATGGGCAGTGTTGAGTCTATGGTGCAGTGTTGAGTGTATGAGTAGTGCTGAGTCTATGGGCAGTGTTGAGTCTATGGACAGTGTTGAGTCTATGGTGCAGTGTTGAGTCTATGGACAGTGTTGAGTCTATGGGCAGTGCTGAGTCTATGGGCAGTGTTGAGTCTATGGGCAGTGTTGAGTCTCTCCCAAAGCCCTCTACCATCCGCCCTTTCCCCACGCCCACGGTGTGGGATGATTGCGGGGGTTGAGTTTCCTGCTCGCAGATGTCACGATGTGTGCGTGTGTGAAAAAGAGCTTTATAGCTCATCGGATTCCTCCACTATAAATAAAGATTCTGATTGGGGAGCGGTAGCGCAGTGGTTATTGCACTGCGCAAGGAACCGGGCGACCCGAGTTCGATTCCCACTCACGACAAACATCGGTGACGAAAATCTGAATCGGTCCTTGGCGCTCCCCTCGCCTCAAATGGGTACCGGGTGCCGTGTGTAAACATCGCCACTGGGGAGACAAAGGCGGCCAGGAGTGGTGTTGGCCACCCCATCACCTCGTGTACCGTGCCGGCCTTTATAGGTGCTACTCGCTAAAAGCACTTGCCCCAAACGTCTGTTAAAGCTACACGGGGGGGTATTTGTCTTAAAGCACTTGCCCCAAACGTCTGTTAAGGCTACACGGGGGGGTATTTGTCTTTCTAATTCCCAACTCACTGCTAACACCAGCGACGAGTGACATCTGAACCGGTCCTTGGCCCTCCCCCTTCGTCAACTCGCGTTGGACCAACGTGGTGAAGTATGGTTAAAAAAAAACATTAACGACGGGGCTTGGGGAGGCCTTCGTCTTACAGTGGATTGGCCAAGGGCTGTTAAATAATGATCGATCGTACATACAGTACGTGTAATATTTATAATAAAGATATTCGCAATTGTCTTGCCTCTACCGCTTACTAACGCGTTCATCAAGCCTGTGTTTTCGCCAGGCAAACGTTTCCAATAAATATAATAATTAACCTAATATAATTTTTATAAAAAATTTTTAATCTACAATCACACCACGAACAACTACTCCAAACATTTTTATTTTTCCGCAAAAAAAATTGTTGAGTTTATTAAACTTATTATGTTTAAAAACGAGCCCATTGGAAACCGCTCAATTTAAAGATTCCGTTCTCTTTTTGTATTAGAAAGAACAAAAATGTATGAACTTAATACTCTGAGGGAAAGCTCTCCTATCTTTTACCGTTTTATAATTATTCAGATGTGAACATCATACAATGCATATTGTTTTATTCAAAACCGCTCTCATCCGAGATATCTCAAAAACAATCAAAGATATTACAATACATCATCGGGCCTCCTTTGCCAGTACCAAAATATGATAGGTTTTTCCCCTTTTATCTGGCTTTGTGCTGTTCGCCTTTTGGCGTCCTCTGGTCTAACACCGTTTGAGTAGAGGCTCAAAAGAAAGCTGTCTCTGGTGTGGACCAATCAGTTTCAAAGACAATGCATATATTATCAGAGTATGTTTTTGTTTGCATTTTGACCGCAAGAATTATGGTTAATGTAGACATGATTCCTTGTAAAAGGTTTCAGTTTGGTGTTTTAACAACTTAACACCTGTTTTGTTAGTTTAACACCTGTTTCGTTGCCAGATAAAAGGGGAAAAACTATCCTCGGATAGAACAATGGTTCTCGCTTTCATTCTATTTGCTGTTTAACGCTCTATCAAACGAAAAATCCCACAATCTTATATTGTGAACGGTTTCTGAATGACACGCACAAACATGGCTATAGGGCACCTAAAATCGAGATTTGGTGGTCTTAAAAAAAAAAAACAAATCTCGGATTTTCAGATGTGTGCTGTTGTTTATGTTCTGAAAGCTACCTATGTACCAAATTTCAGCTTTCTACCTTATCGGGAAGTACCCTAGAAGGTTTTTGAGACATACAGATTAAGGTATTTATTTTTTATATATATGAGATGAACACTGATTAACTTTTGATGTGAAACTTTAAGAAAATGCATACTTATTGAATGGCAATTGAACTTCGAGAGAGCATATTTAATGTGTAGCAGGACCAGTCGACAACTCTCGTAATGCCAGAAACCATCATTATTATTTTTATTATTATTTATATGACGAGACTCTTTCTCGGGAGGGCCCTGCCAAGATTTCGAGAGGACGGGCGACGACGTTGCTGCTGCTGCTGCGTGCGATCTCAATCGTCTAATATTTGCGGGTCACCTTTCAACATTGGGGATGTGTTGGCCAATACCGGTGACACCGCATGTGTCTGTTTTAGCTATGGGGGATGGGAGCCAAATAACCCGGAACGGAGCCCATGCAAGAACGTGGGGAGAACATACAGACTCGGCACAGAAAAAAGGCGCCCGAGTCGGGGATAGAACCCGGAGCCCTTCTTGCTGCGAGGCACAAGCGTCGGCACTGCTGCCACCCTGCCACACAACTGCCGACTGCCCCACAACTGCCGACTGCCCCACAACTGCCGACTGCCACACAACTGCCGACTGCCACACAACTGCCGACTGCCACACAACTGCCGACTGCCACACAACTGCCGACTGCCCCACAACTGTCGGCTGCCCCACAACTGCCGACTGCCCCACAACTGCCGACTGCCACACAACTGCCGACTGCCACACAACTGCCGACTGCCCCACAACTGCCGACTGCCACACAACTGCCGACTGCCCCACAACTGCCGACTGCCCCACAACTGCCGACTGCCCCACAACTCCCGACTGCCCCACAACTGCCGACTGCCCCACAACTGCCGACTGCCCCACAACTGCCGACTGCCACACAACTGCCGACTGCCCCACAACTGCCGACTGCCCCAATCGACCAACCCTTCCGTTGTTCTTCCCCGCCACCTACGTACGGTGCGAAAGAAGTTCGACATGCGCACCATATCAACCGCCTCAAAACTATCAACTGCCTCAATCTGTCAACTATATAGAACTAATAATATCGGTATATTCACTGTGACTCAATCTAACCGCTAATGTGTAAGAATGTCATATTGACATACTATATTACGATTTATACGGATGCATTAATTACCCCCATCACTTGTATTCGCACAATCATGACATCACCTTCCTCTATTGAAGACCGGAAACAGGAAGACTTTTTTTACAATTCTGGCCATCGCCTAATGATGTTGGTTCTAATCAGCAGCCAAACGTTGCACACTCAGATCTAAATGCGGGGGGTTTGCTCACCGACACACAAACGGGCGGTGCTGTAAGCAGTAACTAATTGGCACGTTCTGTTCACGTGACCAACCTTGACAATTGTCTGCGTCGGGTGGAGGAGGGCGTACAACACATTCACATTTACATCTGTGGAAAAATAACTGCATAGCTCATCGGATTCCTCCAGTTTTAAATGAAGATACTGCCTCGTTGACGTGATCTCACCCAACAATTAAAAAAAAACCGTCACGCGTATTTCAGCTGAGAAACATTGCGTTCGATCGCCTCCAATCAAACAAACATGTCCAAGTGCCCCAAATCATTTTCCTACGGCCCCCCTTCCCGCCCCCCACAAAAGTGGTCAACTGCCCCCAGGGCAATCTTCATCTCCGGTCACGTGGCCGTGGCAGCCGCCCTCGGCAAACCGCGGCGAGCGCGGCGCGCACAAAGTTCCTGCAAAAGGTGAAGTCGCGAAGCGTCGTTTGTCCTGCGCGCAAAAGATGTTCGGGAGTGCCTAATGTGGTCAACTTCGTAATACTCGCACGGCATGACATCCTTACTTGAGCATATAATCGTCATTTATTTAAAAAATATATATAACATTGCAATAAACCCGGTACACGTGTGTGCGTCGTGTGGTGTGTGTGTATGAGATGGTTAAAGCGGGGAGTCATAGGGACGTCTGTGCAATAAAGAGCTTCACATCTCATCGGATTTCTCCAGGATAAAGATGTTTTTAATAAAGACGTATACAGTCCTGTATAGTACGTCGACGATACTACCGTGGCGACCTGTGTGTGCATCGTGGTCACCCATCCAACACAAGCAACTATCCAGGCTCAAATTTCCTGCTTAGCTTCACGAGATCAGGCGGAGTTAAAGTCGCGGCGCTTCCCCTTGTGATTTTGTCACGAGACAAAAACAAATCGGGCACCCTGGGTTCGATTCCCGCGCAAGGCTTTCACGTCAGTGGTGAGCGAGACCCGTAACGGTCCTGGGGCCCGAAACGTTGGACAGCGTGCCGAACAACGCGCGGTACAGCAGTGAAGAGCGGCTGTTAACAGGAACGCGTTTGCCGTCACATAAGCCTGCTTTCCCACATCTTTCGCTTTAAAAAAAAACATATACATTAATATTTTTAGTTCATCATTTCCCAAACGGCCACACGCCCTTTCTGGGAGCGACGTTTTTTGTTCTTTGTTTGTCTGCTGCATCGTGGTTCAATTGCAAGCAAAAGGCGTCGACGTTCGGTGTCTCATCGGCAAATGTCGGAGCAGCCCGTCCGGTCACCATCCACAGTCCT